CCTCGCGAGTTCGCTCCCCATACTTCTAACACTTCTTCTCCCACTCCCATCACTCTTTCCGCTGTGCCGGTGCTCGTCCTCTCTCCTTCCGTGTCCAAACTTCCTATCCCTCTCACTTTCGCTTGAGATCCCCAACGCCGTCGCCAGCCCCGCACCTACAGCGTATCCATACGACGATCCATACGCATGCGACCCAAACCCGCTCGCCGAGCGACCATGTGAGCCGTAGCTGTACCCCTGCGTGTACGCGTACCCGTCATCCGCGAGGTCGACGTCGCGCTCAATGAGTGGTGGTGTCGGGCGGATGAACTCCATGCGTAGCTCTTCCATGTCCTTCGCCGGCACGCCCATCACGCCAGGTCCACACGTCGGGTCAGGCTCTACACGCGTACGGCGGAAGGTGAATGGAAAACGACGTTGTCTCTTCGGTCCTGAGCCGCCGCTTCCACCACCGCCAACTCCTCCGCTCCCACCAAGGGCGCCTGCACCGACGGTCCAGCCACTGATGTCAGGACCGAAGCCAGATGCGCGTGCTTTCTTCTCGAGGCGTTTTCTCCGTTGTCGCGGTCGCCAGACGCAGAAGAAGAACAGTAGGCCAGAGAAGAGTAGGAAGGCGAGGATGCCTGCGAGGACGAACGCTACGATGGTGCCTGTTGGGAAGGAGGGGTTATGTGCAAACGTGGAAGGATCAACAACGGGTGAGGTGGTCGGTGTAGGTATAGGTGAGCTGCAAGGAAATAAGTCGCCGAGTTAAAATACTAGAAAATAATATACGCACACGACAGGTACGTTCACCCTAAACCCGTCCACCCGAAGCATAAGCTCCGCCTGCCCATCACCAATACCTCCATCGCCATTACCGCTATCCCCAAAGCCGTTGTTCCGCACCTCGACAGAGTGCACGCCGCCCTCGAGCCCCGTGACGAAGAACAGCAGGGCGTCGTCGACTTGAAAAGATGAGCGTGCTGAAAGCGTCGTCGAGACCGATGAGGAGCCTGAGGTCAGTGAAGAAGCCGGAAAAGAGAACGGTAGCGTGCCGTTGTCGAGTGTCACGGTATAGTTGGCACCAAGTGGGGATGTCCGTCCGAGGATGGCGAGTGTTGTACCTGTGGGATCAGGCGCGTGAGTCGCGGTTGGGGTAGGAATAAACATTTTGTAGAACGAGTGGGGAAGTGCACAAAAACGAATGAATGTAACTGCAAACGAAGGAAACGCGAGTTGGTCGTGAAGAGGGCAACCGGGGGAAGGAGAAGGGTAGAAAAGGGACTTCGTCGCAACCAGGCAGCAAAACAAGGTCACGATCGAAGCTGAAATGACCCAACCACCTGGAAAAGTATCCTGCCAATCGCGAGTCACCCACGTCAGGACGGCTTACAGCACCCTTTCACAAAAAAATACCAGAAGGATTAGAAGTCCTTCTGAACATAAAGAAAGCGCCCGTCAACGCGAATCGAAAAGATAGAATAGAAGAAGAGCCCCCGGAAGGCGATGTGGGGCGTGGAGGAGACGCAGGGGATTGGAGGGAAAGACCATAAGCCGGCGGGAGATGAAGGAATTAGCTATTCGTAAGAACGAAGCCGTCCTCCCAATCTTCGAATAGAATCGAAAGAAACTGCCACAGATGATAAAGTGGTGGGATTTGAAAACGTCGCGAAAGGTGGAAGTAATGAAAAAGATGAATTAATCAAAGAAGGTTCATGAAAATGACGGAAGACGGAACGCGAGCACATGGAGAACGTGAATGATTCAGAGGCGCGTTTCGTCCGCTCGCGATAGCAATCACCGACAAGCCTTCCCAACATCATATCCATCCTCCAAAAATAAGACTCGTTCGCCGATCGAGCCAAAGCCAGGAATCGCCTTTGCCTGGCATCGTCATCAACGTAGCCACTCCACCACCCACCACCTAACTTCATCGCCCTGATGTCCCAGCCAAGCCAACCTCCAAAGATTACCTCAACTCAATCACCTCGCCCAAGTAACCGGCTGAGATTCATCCGTCTGACCGTAACCCTCATCTCGCACACTAGAAGGCCCGACCTTCTTCTCCAAGAGGAACTCTGCAAAGCCGTAAAGGTGGGAAACAACCGAAACGGCGAAATAACCTCGTGTGGTGAGAGTGGCGGGGCGGCGATCGTCATCACTGCACCGCCCGCCCTATTTCCAGAAATAACGGTCATCGTCATTAAACACGCCAGGGTCACTGGCGACATAACCTCCGGACACATGAAAGCAATGAAGAGAAAGGCAGAAGGAACGGAGGGGAAGTAGAAAGGAATAGGAAGGGACGACAACGCACCGTTGAACCTCGTAAACGCCCTGTCCCCTACGTTAACCGATTTATGAAACCCAAGATTCGCAGACGTCTCGAATGACCATTGACCAGAGTAGGCGATGCTTGAGTCCGCAAGCGTTTGTGGTTGGAACGTGATGCTAGAACAGAGGTCAGCTGGATGTCGCAGAACGGCACACGAGAAGAGAACGAATCTGAAACGACACCACCGGAAGTTCGGTGTGTGGGGAAAGGTGGATAGTCGAATAATAAGCGACCCTTTCGGAGTGATAGGACAAAAACCCTGAGCTCCAGTGATGAAACAGGGTCTGGGTGGGACGGAGATAGCGCACGACAGGCGCTGCCGGGTGCAATCCAATTAGACCAGATAACTCACTTTGAGGTGGGCACGGGAGACGAGAGGATGACGGCCTTGTCGAAGACGAGCATGGAGGAGCCGAACGGGACCTGGGCAGGGTCAGCGGTGGAGCCCGAGGCGGAGTTGGGGGAGATGAGGGCGGTAAGGGTGATCGTGTGGGGGACATCGGGAAGTCCTTGGATATCAGCGAGCAGGCCTGATGCGGACGAGGCTGAAGGCGTGGGGGACGTGGTCGTGGTCGTGGAGGCGTTGGGGAAGGGGGTTATCGGGACACCGTCGAGTGTGACGGTGTACGCCGCGTTTGTAGTGTTCCCGAACAGTTGGACGCCCGTTCCTGCAACAGATCAATTTTCGTTCGAGCAACCTGCGAGCGCACGCACCTGTCCACTGTACAGCCAAAGCGGCCCCGTTGAGCGAGGTGATGTGTAGGCTCGTCCCGTTGGCCAGCTGTCCTGGTGAAGCAGCGTACCCATTGGGGTCATAGTACGGGTTCCAGCCCGCAGTGGGGTTGGGTGCACCGAGGGTGTCGCGGAAGGGGGAATAGGCAACGCTAGGCGATGAATCGTCGATGGTGAGCTGGACGTAGGTATCTGCCATGCGCGGGGGGAAGGGAGGAGCGAGCTCGAGGTGTCGCGGGAGGAAGAGAGCCCAGGAAATTGAGTGTGAATTGTTCTGCAAGCGCGGCGCGAGGGCGGTGACGAGGGGCACTGATGGCGACTCGAGGCGTAGCCGTGGGCAGCCTCTTTTTTTCTCGGTTGCCCTCGACGGCGCACGCGAGTGGGCGAGGCGACGGAGCCGAAGGTAAGAGTGCGGGTGTCGGCTGGCAACCCTCTGCTGTGTCGCGAACTACCACAGCAAGCAGGAGCTGTTGGTTAGTACATGGAACTTGGAAGAGAACCAGCCAGGCATCTCCCTGAGGAAACTGGAGGTAAACCGGAGATGGAGAGTTTGGAGATATCATCCAATCGTCACAAGGTGGTGCCCGGGTGCCCGGGTGCCCCTCACATCGGGGCAGAATCCGGGGAAATTTTGCCGAGATGACGAATTTATCCGATCCAAATCCCGTTTGGCGACGGGAAAGAGATTTCGAATGTTGAGCAAATGTTGAGGTTGGAAAGATGAAAATTGTTGTGACCATAGGCAAATACGAATCTAAAGAAACACTCACCTATGGCACAAAATCCTACAACCTCCTTGGTCCAAAAGACTCCGTGTTCGAGAATGCTCCCAAATCTAGACGAAAAATAAGCTCAAACGAGTTCCGGGGTCTTACCGTGACATCCTACTGACCGAACCGACCGGCGCCCTTCCGCTTGAAGTTGGATTCGAAAACCTGATGCACCCACATCTCCATCAGCCCTAGGCACTGCGAGCCAATTAACCGCACTCATAGATCGCAGACCAAGCAAGAAGTCTCACCCGCTTTGATCCCTAGTCTTCCATCGCAAATCCTCTCCACTGTCGACGGAGACGAGACTTTCTTCATGACGACACATATTGCGATACGCCCACCGTGTCCAAGCCAAGTCTATCCCGGGACGGTGGTGGTCCCTGAGTGTGGCGTATATTCCTGTACCCCCAAACCACCCGGTTATCTCACCAGCGCCCACCACCAGAGTCTATATCTATCGTCATCACCTTGTCATCCCAAAGTGACCTGTCATCAACCTCCAGCCAGCCTCCAGTTTCCCTCCGATCCATCATCGGCATCGACTTCATCACTTTTTTCTGAATCTAAACCCAACCCTCGTGCAACCCTATAACGCATCCCGATGCGCCTCTAACACTGCCTCATCTAGAATGGCTCCTGGCCAGACTGCGTAGAACGGGTTTACGGCCCACTCATCACCACGACGTGATGTGCTGTCAGTAATCCGTGATGCTTTATCGGACCTCCACTCGATACAGACTGAGGAGATGGAGCTCCCATACATGCCGCCGTCCGTCCGTCCATGTCTTGTCATGCTTAGACGTTGATGGTGGATGTTGACAGCACGCGCTAGTTTCTTTGTCGTCGGTTATCTGCCCTCCATGGTCATCGCATCATCGAGGTCTTCGTTGCCTTGCCAAAGTAGCCTCCTGCTGCGTCGAGCTTTATCACCCAGTCGCATTATATCCGACTCGAGGACTTCCTAACAAGTCGGATACTTGCTTTGGGTATTGGACCCTCCTGCTGTCGTGAGTTCGGTCCGAATACCGCGCCTGAGATGCAAAGAGAGCCATCGAAGGACGCTCGATACAGCCAGGTAAGGAGCATGTTGAGCATGGGCGCTTAAGACTGGGTTCGGCCTCCAGTATCTGCATTCTGCAAAAGGGATGAAGTACAATAGCATCGAGATCAGTCAGGATGGACGAGAGATACTTATCTTAATTACTGTGGACAAAGATCGATCCTGCGAGCTTCAATTAGGCGGTGGCCGCTCTTTGAGTTATGGTCGACGGGTCAGCAATACAAGTCAGGACGGTGGATGTAGGCGTATCTCCATGCGAGAGCAGTCGCTCCTCATAATTCTTGCTCTATGAATATCTGCAAAGGAAACGAAGATTCCTAGACATGTTTAGAAGCTCGGCCACCGAAATATAATTAGAGTAGAATGGAACTCAACCGGATAATGTATGTTGATACCACCCTGGCCCGTCATAACCCTGACGAACACCTAGCACACCTGCGGCGAGGGATCAGCGAGGTCTCATGCGATGTGGTAAAACGAGTTGAAACTTTAGCAGCTTCGAGAGCGTTTGCGAAGAGACAAGACACAATGCAGGATGTGGAAAATGGGTAGACATCAGCAGACGCGAGGAGCATGTCGTCCTCTCTGGACGCCAGGAAGATGAGAAGAGCAGGCGGGGTGTGTACTGACTTCTCTCTACCACAAGTCTTGTCCGTCGAAGGCGCCGCCATCGCTGTCGGTTACTGATGAGCAGGGATACCTTGACCATTGCTACTGAGGGATAAAAAAAATTGTGCATATATGCGCATCTAGAATGCCTGTTGGCTAGCGAGAAGTTGTGGAGGGTAGGGTATGAAGGGAGGCGCGGAAGGAAGGGCGGAGAGGAAAACGCGGAGGGGAAGCGGGGACGTGTGTTGGCTGGATAGTGAGAGCTGGGAAGAAAGAGCGAAAGGATGCCATGAAACGCCGTGGGCTTATATACCTTCTCGAGGCCGATTTTTTGGGGAGGACTTTTTGGGACGCGTCCTATTTTTAGGTCAAGCGCCAAAGTGAGCGCGTTATCTGTGTCACGTTCGCGAGAGTCACTAGTCACGCGCCCCCATTTCAGCGTTTCAACACTGCACTCGACCGCATTCTGTCGACACTACAGCCCGTCCAATTGCTCTGAGACGCGAAACTTCCCTTCCTCTATCCTCGATATCTCGTTCCAACTCTTAAGGCTCCAGACCTCTTAAATGCAGGTCACATCCCAATCTCCTCCCTAATTTGCTCACAAACGAAGCAGTTTACAGTATGCTACTAGTTCCGGGGCCCTTTTCAGCATCCAATCAAGTAGCCCCACCATGTAATTAAGAAGACCCTCAATCGCGAGAGTTACCAACTATGGCCTCGACACATCGAGGCAGCTGCGAGTTTTCATCCAGTTCTGGGGATGAAAACGGAGACCCGGGATGATAGGATCCTATCCACTTCACATTTCCACCTGTCCCCATCGCCTGGTCCAATTTCCTACAAACAACTGTCAAAGTGAAATGGCCGTGATCGAGTTGATACCTTGTGATCATGACACAAGTTTACCCTATTCACTGCGTCGCAGTCGACGATTTTGAATGTTCTCAGTAATTTTACACTGGCCATCGTCGACCGTAGACGGTCACCGGAGACGTCTTTAAATTCCACCGTTATGCAAGCATACAGGCCGGTGATCTCTAAACCAACCCAACAATTTCTCGAAGGCCGACGAACTCACTCACCATGAAAGCTCGGTCGGTGCCACCTTTCTACCATGGAATAACAACGACACGCAGAAAGGGACCGTGACCACGAGTAGCAGCAAATTTCGAAATGTCCGTACCACCAGTGACTGATCAAACAGTACTCTAGGCTTAATGTTCTCTCTGCGCTTCAAGACATTTATCCGAAGCTGGAGCTGCCAGTGGTCCCATTCTGGGTTGTGACAAAAGCACTGTTCCAACAAGATCGCCAGCGGCTAATGGGGTGACTAGTGGTGCCTTGACGAGTCAACTGCTATGCAAGCTTGACAGGTACAGCTTTCCATCTTTCATTGTCTCCATCCCATTATCAGGTCTCGGGCCTCCATCTTCCTGCCTTTCACCCCTTTGTTGCTCCCTGTTATCCTCCAAAACTCTCGCGAGCACAAATAAAGCTGGTGAGCGCTGGTATTCTGAATAGTGACCAGTGAAGCTGACACTGTTCCAGGAGCCTGTTCACGCAGTTTATGGCGGAATTCTGCAGCCACCGATATTGTTCGGTGTGCCCCGTCCGAAGGTATTGCGTTGCCTCGTTCAAACTTCAGCGTATACATTCACTAATACCATTATGTAGCTGATTAACCAGCGACAATTTTCCATTGCAGGTAGGAAAATCCACACGGAAACTGGAAACTGTGGGGTGGTGGGGTGGTGGAGTTCCAAGACAGGTCGCACATTGACCCCCGACCGTCGGGAGCAACGGCAGATACCCAGAAAGGAAATCGCGCCACATGATTGCTTAGAACTGCAACGAATGAGTTCGGCTTTCTTCGCAGGTATCGTTGTAATGGGTATAAGTAGACCTCAGAACATCACTCATGAACTACGCGCGGGGAGAGGTGAGGCGACAATTGGTCCAAAGGCAATTCGAGCCGACATGTTATGTGCTCTACGGCCCAACCATGCACTATAGGAAGCGTCTTCCGTTAGAAGCGCTCAAACGGAAGTATGAATATTACTGAATTTGAACGGACGTACCAATATCACTCTGACTCTAACTCGTCGGACGACGACAGCCACCTAGGTGGCTCGAGCAGATCCCAATGATCATTCTCAATAGAAATATCAATGCCGCTATCCCGCAATTCCCGAAGGCGTTTCATAACTTGCTTTTGCATAGGCGGCGGACTTATGTCCCTCTCTATCCGCTCGTCTTCATCCGGGTCATATTCTTCTGTGCAAATCGTGACGCAAATCAAGTGCAGCGTCGACAATGGGCGCCGCGAGCCACTGAGACCATCGCCCTCGGTCATCAGAGGGAAGAGAGCCAGGATCGATGCCCATTCAAAGGATTCTTCAAGCTCCGCATGAACGTCAAAAACGCGTAGGCGCGGAAGGAATTCCTTTCTGGGGTCTGTGGTAATGGCCGTGGTCGCGAGATGTTCTCCGAGAGCGGCTGTGATACAGACCTTTGTAACGTGCAATTCGAGGAGGTATGGCGTCTCTTGAAGTAACGGGTGGATTTCGTTAGGATACCATTCGTCTCCGTCAAGTACAAGATGCCGGACCTTGCACTGCGAACGTCTGATCATATCCGTAATTGCGCTGAACTTGGAGCGGCTCTCGAGAGTTTCCAACGCAGGTAGTGTCAGGCAACGAACAAGGTTGGTCTCGTAGTGAGTCGGGTCGAGTACGAGGGTCTTTAGGGAAGGTAGGGTGATTACTCCAGTCGGGGGAGTCGAAATTTGTCCAAAGTGCTTGTAAATACATGTTATCTTGCAATCCACCACTTGTACGACCATTCGAAGCACAGAGATGACTGAGCTGACCTCGAGCAGGCATCCATGCGATCTTGACGAGGTGTGGGGGAACGCGCTCTAGGACCAACCTTTGAGGACTGATCAACGTGTTGGTGGGGGCGAAGGGAGAGGAATGGGGTTCTTTCGCGTCGGCGATGGAAATTTCAAGCTCGCGCGTGACGAGGGCATCGACGTTGGTGTTCAGATAGGGAAAATATTTCTTCGGGATGCAGATTTCCAGACGCTCAGCGCGTCCAAGGTGCGCGTTTAGCACTTCGAATAATGGGACAACGCTGATGTCAGGCTGAGTCTGAATCTCCTTTTCCGAGCCCTTCCCGGATAGCACGTCCGTTTCCCTCAATCCTTCGTGGGTCCATAAAGCGATTGGTAGTTGACCAGAGCGATTGAGCCAATCCCCAGTAACTTTGGCGTACGTCTCCACATCACCATTCCATGGGGTGCACCCTACATTCACGGATATCGTGGACCAGAGGCTTTGAGTCGAGATAGCAACCTGGCGCCACACCTGGGAGACCGAGGCCAAAACAACAGCCTGCGATGCGGGATTCGTGTACCACGGCCTCGGGGTAGGCTTGGAAACTACACTCGCTATTTGGTCACGCCAGCGCCAGTCACTTTGGTCTGGTTCTGGTCTTGGAATTGTCCTCAGTGGGTCGCCTGGGGGAGGCATAGAAGAAATATCTGAGCGATGATCTCGACAGGCCCGCAAGTCCGTCATGATGTTGATTACGTTTGATTTTGGAGTTGCAGCATTAGATTGGGTAAAAACGCCTTTCGCCTCCACCATTTTTTCCTCAATTTGAGCAATTTCTTTGCAGCCTTCGCATTGTTCAGGATTACAGCTAATGGCAAAATTGTAGACGTTTTTCAAAATCCTCACATGTGCGCCTTTGCTGACGTCAACTACAGCTTTTGGCAAGCAGCATCAGTCTCGAGGAGCGGCCTTTTCCATCCCAACCCATCTGACCTCAAAAGGGCAGGTTACCAACGAGAAACTCCACAGGCCCCACCGGCCCACGACCGTGAACAGTTGGGCCCCACCATCGTCCTGCCTAACAAGGATGCTTAGGGTAAGCGACGTGGGTTTTTCAGAAAACGTCTACGATTTTGCCATTAGCTGTAATCTCACAGGAATTGGTGATGGTTTCATTGACCGCGTTAAAGGAAGCAACAAGTCCACAAATTGTGCAAGTTACTGTGGGCCAAAGTAGCGGTGCTTCCTTTTAAAAAGAACAGGAAATGCTTACCATGTCCCTGGGGTAAGGATTATTGCATGGGGAGAACTGCTAGCAAAATCTGAGCAAAATAGGAGTGTCGTGGGAAGGTTTCTCTTGCCCCTATCTCATTCCGGGCCGCAGGACCGTCCTTCATGCAGCAGCCACGACCACCATTGGACCTCAAACTCGCAGGCACAGCGTCCTTTCTTCCAGCCCTTCTGGCTCACATACGTGCTACACATAATTTAAATATCGCAAGCAGCCCCAACCCAGGTCTACAGCCACTACCACTCGACAATGTCATTTTCCAGTCGATCCTGCTCTGCTTGATTGGACAACAGAAGCACCTCGTTCTGCGAACGCCGGAGGAGGATGTCGGCCTTGCAGTGAAGCTAGTGTTATGGGTGAGTAATGCCTAGAATTCGAATTCGGGGAAAGAGTGCCAACTGGTTTACCTCTATAGACGTTGTCGAACGTGTTCGACTTAGAGGTCCATAAAGTCAAGGTCAAGCCCTCGTCTCGAGCACCCGCGTCTGGGAGGAACGGAAGACTTTCTTCAACAGCGAAGGCGGAGGCCCAGTTTCGGAACGAGGCAGGTGCAGCAGAAAGGTTTCTCAAGTCCCTGTTCGTCCCGTCCGTATCCCCACGCCCCGAAGAGAATGAGTATACGCAACTAAATCCAAGCGGTGGGCCAGAAGAAGATAACCCCAGCACCTCTTTACCCACACCAAAGCCGCAGAGGCATCACGAATACACTCGGTCGCGATCTTTCCCCCAGAATCTCAATCTTTCGGGGGCGGGCTCCACGTCCATCACACCCTCAACTTCCACCTCAGCCTCTACGGGATCCACGATAATCAGACCACGGCCCACTTACGCGTACAGACCCTCCTTACCACATGCATATACCTACCCTGTGAACGCAACACCTAGCTCAGGGAGCTTCGACGCGGCCACTCCAACGACAGCGTCCACAGCCACCCCAATAGGTCCGATCCCGCCCGCGATAGGACGACGGACGCCGACTCCACGTCTACCACATGCATACACGGATCCTCTACCGCTTCCACACCCATACACGCCGAAATCGCGCCACGCGAAGACGAAGAGCAAAGGCAGCAGCCACAGTCGGCACAGGCACTCCAAATCAAGATCGCAGTCAAGTGTGTGGTACGACGCCGAGGAGGAGGGGGAAGGTGCAGGAGAAGGCGGAGTCGATTGGAGAGCGGAAGATATGCACCTCCCCCAGGCGCTGGTATTGAGTGGGCTGGAACACGCGAATGAAGGGGCTCAGAGAGCCTTTGGGAGGGTATTGAGCGATAGGAAGGTCGTTTTACCAGTGCGGGGCGAGCAGGAGGAGAGAACGTGGGAGGTACCCAACGACTTCATCGTCGTGTATGTTTGCCCGTGGAACGCGAGACAGCGGCCAGCGGTGCACACGAGTTTGGTGAGTAGTCCGTCACTGCTGGATCTCAATTTTTGGTGTTGTCTCCCGCGGTCCTGAGGGCGTAGCACCCCTACCCCCCTGGTTTGACGCTCCCCCTCGAAAGACTTTGGCTCCCGCTTCCCTATTCATCCGCGAACTCGAATAGAATCGCTGACTTACATATGTTGCTCTTGTCTGTAATTCTCCAGCTCGACAAATTCGCAATGTCTACCAATGTTTTCATTCCTCAAAACATACGGCACGACTTCAGGCTCCTCCAATTCTCCTCCTCGTCCTCGTTCCCACCAGGATCCACCCCAGGCTATCCTTTCCCGAAGGGCCTCGGTCAACCCCATCACCACTCACATCTGCATACCCATACTCACCACAATGGTGGGCACTCGCACTCGAACCCCGGCAGTCCTTCTCCAGCACATCCTGTGGCGCTACCGCCAACGCATACGCCGCCTGTACGGACGACCGCCCTGCCCTCACACGGACACGGATATCCATACGGTCATTCGTCGACGTCCAGCGGCTCGTTCTCGCCCTCTGCCTCCCCGCCACTGCTCGGACACGCAAGCTGGCGGCCGGTGTCTGCGTCGGGGTATGGTTCGTCCTCTGCATATGGGAACGGGTATCCCAATCTCAACGGCAGCGGAGGCTACGAGAGACAGTCGTATGCATACACCCAATCTTATACCCATCCATACCCCTCGCCAACCGATCGCGACTCGCACACGAGTCCGTTCTTCTCTGCGCTACCATCTCCATCGGCGTTGGCGCCCGTGTCTCCTTCCTCTCCAGCCCAAACTGCGGTTCCGCCTGCCCCTCTCCTTCCACCTGGCCTACTGGCGAGTCTTCGTATCCTTGCTACGGATCACACGTACATCTCGCCCTCGCTCAGCCTGTACCTCGCCGACCTATTCTCCGCGACACGCCATCATCCTCGATTGGACGGGATGCTGCTCGGTGCGCGAGCCATGAGAGACGCAGAGGTGCTCGTCCGAGCTGGGAAGGTCGTGGGTATTGGGGGCGGCGAGGCTGCTACCGCCGTACAACTCGGCGTAGGAAATCCTCCGGATATCAGCAAGATGCGAACGAAGACAAAAGAGGCAGACTACAGCGACGAGGAGGACAAGGAGGATTGTGATGAGGAAGACGAGACTGGCGAGGGCGATGGAGGGGCATACGGCTACACGAGCACAGGCGAGTCGTCCAAGTCTGACGTGCACCAACTCATCCACAATGCGACGTACAACCCCGTCCCTTTGCGATCTCCTCTCTCGCCTCGTTCGCCCTATGTGCACCCATCTACCGGACCAGGGCCCAACCGCTCCACTCTCGAGCCCGGCCCGGACGCCGCGCCAGCTTCGACTGTCCCCAACTTAAATTCATTCCCTATTCTCGACGTCTCAGAAGTCGACATCGCGCGCATCGTGCCTCGCGTCGTGTCTCATCGCGTGCGGGTGCGCGCTGGGCCGCGCGATGAGGTGTTAAGTGGGGTTCTGTTCGGGGCTACGTTTGATGGTGAGGGTATAGATGGGTGGGAGGTTGGGGGCGGAGAGAAAGGGATGGAGGCGGGAGATGCGGATGCGGATGCGGATGCGGGAGAAGGGCAGGGACAGGGAGGGCAGGAGGATAGAGAGACGGTCAAGAGTGTACTGGTACAAATTCTTTCGGAGGTGTAGCACAAAAGTCAGCCCCCTATGCGAAAGCAAGTCAGGAAACGTCTTTGGGAATTCCCGGATAGGCCCAGGAGGTTTGAGATTTCCATTGAGAATCATGATGACTGGGATATGCTCTAATTACATTTCGAAGGGGACTCTGTTGAGCGGACAGACACTGTCCTCTAAACAGAATCTTTCGGCCTTACTGATTACGGACGTTTCTCGCAGTGCATGATTGGTATATGACAGGGGGCCAAGAGAGTAACGTAGCAGTCCATTAGTAAAAAGCCACTATGGAACCCGAAAGGGTACCGACAGCAGGTTGGACCCTCAAGAAGTTGGTCATAATATGCTTGTGCAGCCGCCAACACCTTTTTTGGCTGCCCATAAATCCGGTTCCCACAGTAGTGAGTCCACTCAGGTAGTAAGTATTCACGTCATCCCAATTGCGAAGTTCGAGGTCATCACTCCTACGAGTCGAATTGGCGGAAGAGGAGCCGGATAAGAGGTGACGGCTGAATAATACGAGCGTAGGGGAAGAAGGACGTGGGGAATACACGGTTCGCTCAGGTGCGTATAAAGGAGAGGCATCTTGCTGGGCGAACCTTCAATTCTACCAGCTTCGAACTTACTGGATATCCGAAATGAACGGGGCAGAGCTCAAAGTTAAGCTGAACACGGGTGCGTACATCCCCATGGTTGGTGAGTTCACCCTTGTCTTTCTAGTGACCTCTGAAGAGACACTCATTTTCAAATTGTTGGCAGGCACCGGCTCGAACCCCACATCACGTGAAAATGGATATGAAGCACAGACAAAAGAGTGGCTCTTGACAGCTCTCAAGGTACCCATACGAGTCGCGTTCCTTGGAAGGTGTCCATTAATATCGAGGACGGCTAGAACGGGTATCGACACATCGACACCGCCTTTTCGTATGGTAGGTCACTTTGGTTTGTACTTTGACCGGATGAATTTACCCCTCTTTGTCAGGCACGGAGAAGGCGGTCGGCCAGGCTATACGCGATTCCAGAATTCCGAGAGAGGAGATTTTTGTCACAACCAAGTTTCCGTGCGCTAATTTATCTCTCCTTCGTCGAATGCTATTCAGAAGCTATGCGTTAGAGTGACCCATCACGGGAGAGTTAAAGAATCCTTTGAAGAGAGCTTTGCCAACTTGGACATCGGATACATTGACTTGGCGCGCCTATTTATGTCCTCTCTCATTTGCACAACTTGACGGGTTCATTGGCGTCCTCCTGAGTATCTGACGCATTGGCCAGGTGCTCTAGAATACGTCGAAGGGGTTCTCATGCCCAAGAACGCGGACGGTACCTTCAGAACCACCGAGAGCGTGAATTTCAACCAGTCCTGGGCCGAAATGGAAAAGCTCCTCGAAACGGGCAAAGTGAAAGCGATTGGTGTTAGTAACTTCTCCATCAAGACGTAAGCCCTCTTTTACATCGTTCCAATTCGAAACACACCATCCTACTCTCTTCCCAATTCTAGTCTCGAAGAGCTCTTCAAGACGGCAAAAATCACGCCGGCGGTTAATCAGGTCGAGTATGTGCCATTTTTGTCCTAGATGAAGCTACACTTCTTGTCAAAATTTCCGCAGAATGCATCCCTACCTGGCTAGGAACGAGCTCAGGAACTACTGTGCCAAGCCTACACGCCAAGCGGTGAGAGAATAAGCGCCGAGTCGCCTCGCCAACACAACGTGAACTGACTTGTTTATCTTATCCCCAGGTCGCTCGGTCGTTCGAGAGGATCCTCTGATTGTGAGCCTCGCGAAGAAGTACGGGGTGACTCCAACACAAATCATCCTCGCCTGGCACATCTCTCGCGGCAATGTCTTTGTCGCCAAGAGTGAGAACGACGAGAGGCAGAAAGAGAACATCACAGTATGTTTTTTGTTGGCCCAATTCCACGGCACTGTAGGTAAACTGTTGGTTGATTGAATAGATTCCGGTAATCTCAGAGGAAGACTTGGGTAAAATCTGGCATCTCGACCGTGGGATGGGGGTTTGCCCTGTTCCGACCTCGAAGCCGGGGGAGGCTCTTGGGTGGACATATGAGCGCCTTGGATGGGAGCATTTTCATCCTAAGGTCTAGATCTACCTTGTTACATCATTGTTGTGAATTCAAATCTTTATAACAGGCTCGTTGACGATTAGACAATTGGAAAGAGCTGAAAGAAAGAATGTTCCATCTCTGATGACGATGTTCCACGCACGAATGAACGAAGGCTTTCTCCTTGTAGCGATGGGCTGGAAGCGTCGGGGGCAGCATAGCGAGCCATGGGTGTACCAGGTGTGTGGAAGACGCAGGAAAGAGGCGGAATATGCGGGTTTCCCTCCACGGCCTGCACGAACAGTCTCAAATCCTGGTATCCCGTACTTGCAGCTTTCTTGCATTGCACGCCTATGTAGGTAACTGATCGTCCTGACTCATGCTCCAAGCCATCAGATGCTCCAACTTCTACCCATTACTTTCCCCATATGGTTGCAACAATGGTCCCTCATTGTGGAAGAGCATAACGACGACAAGCGAAATGTGAGCGCTTATATTACACCCCTATCAATCTCAGGCCGTGGGTCCGCCACTGCCAGGGATACACAGCCAGGTCGCTGTATTGAGATACACGCACGTGTGGGTGAGTTACACCTCGCACACGATTATTTGCATGTGGTTTAATAAGGGAGCACGCAAATTTATATAAGTACAGTTATTTGACTTGATTTACGATCCACGCAGGGTCGTCGTAAATTCACCGTAAATTATGCGGGTGCCCGGATTCCTGGTGCCTGACGATCGGCCCCAGCATCTAGATGGAGAGAAGGGTTGCCAT